CCCCTCACCTCGCCTGCGTTCTCAGAGGCTTCACATGGGACCTCTTGCGAGCCACCTTCTATGGTCTCCGACCATAATTCCGTCTGCTCTTCTTCCCCCCGCACTTTCCCCTCCCCGCAACTCCTACCCTTCCCTGTCGACCTGCGCTCGCAGTACGAGATCCGGAGGCCCAGCGTTCATGTTCTCGAGGACTCGCCTAGTTACCCGGCTCGCTCTCTAGAGTCTCTGTCCGAGATCGCGTCCACACAGCGCTGGATAGGTCACCAGCCTACTCTGGCTTCGTGGCACCAACCTATGGACGTGCCCAAATCTTGGATCTCCAGATCTGAGCCTGTTCGTGACACTCGCATGGGAGTGAATAACTTGCTCAACTGAAAGAACCCCCTTTCCCCCCCCCCCCCCCCCAAAAAACCAACAACAACACACCATGCATCATCTTTCATGATTTTGACGAGTTTCTTTTCTCTCTGGTTTTCTCTTGTTCTATACTCCTGATTCCCCTTCGCGCTCGGGTCCCCTGATGGAACCCTTCTACATTTCGTCACATAATCTCCAATTTTTTTTTGTCAATGTTCTGTGGGGCGTTGCGATTTTCTTTTGTATAATCTTAATCTGTATAATCATGGTTCTGATCTTGAAACTTTGTATGTTGAACGGTTTTTTTTTTTTAAATTTTTGGTCCACATTTATTTGGAACGCAAATTTGGAGTCGGCTCTCCCATTTCTGCTTGGCATAATACCCTGTTTATAGCAATGATCTAATTTTGAATAGTAATTTTTTTTAAACGAGATTCTCCAATACATACAAGTCCTTGATTTCTGACGCAAATTCGCATTCCTACGGACAACAAGTCGTCCATATACCAATGCAAGAGGAAAAAAAAAAGACTTTTTGTACTCCCACACGACCCCGTTCCAGCCAGCCTCTCCTCTTCTAGTATTGCAGACCTTGACAGAGAATGCCAATCTGCAGCCTCCAACCGTTGCGTTCTTCCCTTTGCATGGGTTCCCATAAGGAATGCGCCACCGGGCACACGCTGTGCACACGAGGATGGACGCAAGGGATACGAGAAAGGCCTGGCTCTGGTAAGGGCGGCCCAAGCACGGAAGTAAGGAACCCCACCCGTTTGTCAGACAAGGCAAGGATTGTTTGGATATCCAGAGAGAGTCGACGTGGTTGTCGATAGAAATCTAGAGTGCCCAGGTGGTACCCCTAGGAGCTGTTGCAGATGACTACATCGGGACCAAGTTCACGCACATGCACACTAGACTTAGGGAGGGTCGGGTATACACGACGGAGGTAGGATTGAGCATTTAGTCTGAGGGAAAGCACACTGCCCACGCCGATGCTGGTGCTAGTGAATGCTTCTGCATTGCCTTCTATCCAGACCCAGGATCGGAACCAGAAGACGTGATGTTACGGAGTTCTCCGTCCATGCTGCACGAACCCCCCCCC